TCGTGTATCATTATGGTGTTCTATAAAATGTTGTATCATTTGTCTAATCTTAATATTATCTAATTATCTAAAAAAAAAAAAAATAGTGAGAAAACGTTCCTTTGGCTAACGAAACCGCGACGAGGGTGAAAGACGAGCGCTTAACATGACAATAGCCGTTCATTGTCAGGGAAACTCACCCCCCCCCCCCGCTTGCAGTGTACTCCCTATCGAGTCAATGGAAAGCAGAATCGCTACTGAGAATTAGAAGTCTTTCATGAACTCCAAGATCTTGATAAATCGTTCTTTCGTCGCGTTTTCTCTCGCTAATCCCACCATTTTTCGTGGGAATATTTTTACGCATAAATCTGGACCTGCCTTTATCATTTATCCTAACGTTTCTTTCGATTCTACGTATCGATGTATCTAAATAGCTCCCTTTAAGCTCCCACTAAATGAACAAAAAAAAAAAAAAATAAAAAGACGCTGTCTTCAAAGCCAGTAAGTGCATATCAATCGAATCCCCCAACTTGGTTCTCAGGTTCCCTCAACCCTGTCCACCCACGTCGGCCGAACATCGTCGCCTAGAAATAACTACTTGCAAACAGACGACGCGCAAACACCGGCCTGACGAAGCAACGACGGAAGTCTCGGGAGAAATATTCCCCAACTTCGACCGAACGCTAATTTCTTCTTTTTTTTTTTTTCCTCGGGGACGTAATTGCCCCACAAATAAAGAAACGAGGAGGAAACTTTTACCGGGAACCCGTTCGGATCCGCGACAGGAAAAAAAAATTCGAGGGAGCGCTTAACGACGGAATAGCGGAAAGTCTGCGAACAGAACCTGCGCCCCAGACCGCTGATATTCTTATTTCCCGAACGGTGGTAAGAGTTTTAAGAATCAACATACGGCAGATCAAAAGGCGTTTCTGATAATTGGTGGAAATCTTTTCCAGTCGTCCCCATCAACTCCCCCGATCGCCGAGCCTCTGGCAAAGGGTCTCTCGTCGTCTCGCGATCTCGCCTCCCGTTTGAAGATTACGCGCGTTTCACGGTGGGCTGCTGGCGGAAAAACATCCCATATTTATTCCGCGTTTGCTTCCACGCGAAGCAGTCACAGTTCTAAGAGGCGACCGGCGGTTTGAATGGGGGTGTGTAAGAGGAGCTCGATGCAGTCTGGTATCGACGATCGGCGGGGGTGGCTCCGTAGACGGCGGGCGCACCCGGATGTCTTTGCTTTACGCTTTACTGTTATTTATCTCCGTGAAAAACGGAATTCACGGCGGCGTGTTCCAAACGTGGCGGACTTTTCTTCGAGAACGGGTAAAAAAAGCGGAAGGGGGTTCCCTCAAACCCTTGTTAAACGATACCCAGTAATTTCTTGGGGCAGAGCTTTCCTTTAAGCGTTTACGGTTTGATACTGGGGCTTGGTCTATCGGTGGACTCTACTCGATGCATTAGATTTTCGCGAAATGTTTCGCTCGGTTCACTCATGTTCATGAATCAGCTGGTTACTGTCAACTGTTACACAAACAGTGTTTGTATAAATAGACGACATTGTGATAGAGCAAAATGGATCGTAAACAACTCTAAAACGAAAGAAGCTTTTGGAGCAACATTGCTATTATATTCATTATAATGGCAATTATAGTAGGAATATTATATTTAATATAATAGTGGAATGAGATTTACCAACCACGAGGCAATCGTCTGTGGAATTTTGAAATTCGCCCGAAGCCCGACAGTCGGGACAGTATTTGAACGAATCCCGTGGAAGGGTCGAGGTCAACGAGAAGGGGACAAACATATGGGACGGATGGTCCGTCGACGAAAGCCAGGAGCTTTTTAACTAGTGGATACTACCCCCGATCGGTCGCCGCAGATTAATTTCATCATGAATGTTAGCCCAACACTCGAGATTCAACCGCAGCCAAACACCCTTCACCGAGACTCTATTAACAGTTTAAAGCATATTACAGTCATGACGCGAGCTTGTTTCGATGAGCCCCGTCAAAGCTCGGCCGGCTGTGAAAAATATGTTTCATCAAATCTACGTGTTTAGCTCTTCTCGAAGTCTTCGGGCACGCCTATCTTTCTTACGACGAGCTAGAATCTATTATCCGTATTTTTCAATAAATACAGCCCAATTCACAGGATCGTTACATTTTCGAAAGAAGCGTATTATCGCTTTTTGCATGGTTGCCAATTAGGAGTGTCTGAAAGGTCGAGGCATCAGGTAAGCTCGTTCCCCGAAGACGAACACCCTCCCACCGCCTTTAGTTCGAGTTAAGAGCGCCACGGAAGAGGGGGCGGGAGAGAGAAACAAAGGGTGACCCGATCCGGGGATCTCCCTTTCTCTCTACCTCTCTTCATCGTTCTCCTTTGCCTTTTTCGGTGGAAATAAAACTGTTGTATCTACTAATAAAGGCGGAGTCTTACTTTTAAAAGCGCGTACTGCCGCGTCTCGTTTCTCCTTCGCTCCGTCGACCGGTCTCCCTCCAGGCTCACTCTCTCACCTTCGTTCTGTGTTAAAATAGGAGGGATTAGTTCCTATGGTAGCACGGGGGCTTAAGCATTGATGAGGTTTTTAAATGGGTTCTCCTTTGACGATGGCAAGAGAGAGCACGAAAGACGCGGGCGTCCAACTGGCTGGGGATGAGTGGAGGGTGGACAGAGCGGGACGATATTTACCGGCAGATTAAAAAATCGAGGGAAAAATTAAGTGTTACGGGGGCACGGCCCCGTGCGGGATTTAATTCTACGTAATCCTCTGCTAAGATCGCCGAACCAGCTCCCTCGACCGTGGGAGTCCTTGCCTCTATGTTCGTAAGAAGGTCGAACCCTTAGATTCCCAACCCCTCCCAACCTCGGGGACTCCTTTTCCTCCGTTTTTTAAATCTCGCGCTAATCGTCTAAGACCGCGCTTTCAGAGTGGCCTCGATTAGCTGCAGGAACGTTGTGACTATCGATATCGAGGCTCGTGATAACATGTCCGTTAGAATGTTAAAAATTTACAACAGGCTTTCATCGACAAAGCATTCTATATTATCAGTAGAATGCAGTGTATTACCGATAAAGAACTCTATATTAGTCTGTATAAACTACTTTACGTTACTAACAATGTACGATAACCAAAAATGGTTGTGAATTATAATTATTGCAAGGCAAGCGACCAACCTAATCTTGACGAAGCTCCGGTCAAACGGACCCTCGATCCCGCGCTGGTTTTCGCCCGGTATAATGTCATCTCGAGCAGTTTAGCAGCCCGGCTGATGGAAAGTTCATTTCGGGACGAGTTGAGGTCGGCCGACGACGGGTCTTTTTCCCAACGTCTCTAACCACTCAAATAATAATGTGGCTTAATTACACGAGGACAAGTCGATATGTTGGCGATACAAATATTTAGAGGGTGGACGGCGAGTAGCCGTGGAACGATGTTATTAGTAAATTAACCAACATCAAAGAAAATGCGAGCGGTGGTCACTCACTCTGCTAATGGAAAGCCTGCATCCTCCTGGGCGAGATATCTATAGACGTACTTACATACTGTCTGTACAGATACATTTCTACGTTTCCAAACACGGCGGCACAAACGCCCGTGCGATCGTTATGATTACGCTACGGAAGCATCTACGAACCCTCGAAGGGCCGTCGAGTGCTCGAGATACTTCTACCTCGGTCTGCTGTGTAAAGTCGCCATGGGATAACAGCCTTTTTCTACGAAAATCCACAGAATTTTTCTATTAATTTAATTCTTTTTTAAGTTCTAATCGACTTCTTTCTGGTTTAGATAATCCTAAGAGAATTGAGAGAGGGCTTTTATATCTTTCACTGTAGAAAGGGAATTCACGAATTCAAAAATGTATTTACTTCAATTAGAAACCTAGTTTAACGAAGACACAGCTCCACATTACCATGTATATCGATTTTTTAAAATTGATCCTCGTCGACATCAAAATCAGTACTATCAGTACTACCAGTTCCCACCTATTTAGTGTCAAACGTTCCTCCCTATCCTCTCGTTTAAGCCACCCCCTAAGCGCTTCCGAACGTCAGAATCATACCAAATGATTCCTACTCATTTTTCTCTGGCACGTTACAGGTTGATCCGATTCCCGGTCCACGAGCACTGTTATTATCATGGCTGATATACATCATGGCGAGTCGGAGCGTCATTGGTTAAGAGGATGATGCATGCAGAGGGTGACGAGGACCTCGAGAAGTCGCGAAGTCCATGCATCCCTCCCCTCGACCTCTTCGCCTATTTCCCTCCTCGTCGTCTCTTCCTACGTTACTCCCAGGTCTTAAGGGTGATTTCTTTTCGTTCCTGGCCCCGCCAGACTAAATTTCGCGCGTTAAGCCCTCGGTGTAATCCTGCCCTTAATATTCAAAAACGTGATCGCCCTGCCAAGCGTTCCGAACGAAGGAGCTGCCCCGAAGCCACCGGCTCGTCCGAACGAACTCGGGAGGGAGCGGAAGCTTTTCATATGCTAATTGGCATTCGTCATTTTCTTATGGCGACGACTTAAGTGTGCTTAAGCGAGCTAACTCCTTTCTAGAAGCCTCAGACCTCGGCCAGGAGACGCCAGACTGGCCACGACGTTCAAAAAATTGGACACCGCGCTCGAACCGATACTTGGACTCGTACGTCTCAGGTCTCGAACTTAAGGCACATGAGAAATGAAACAGAAAAATTGAAATGAAGAAAATTAACTTTACGTATCTCCAAAAATTGGAGAAATTCCTACGAAATTGTCTCATATTTTCCAACGCTTCCTATCAGAATAAAAATTTTCCCTCTAACAAATGGATCTCGAATACCCCCCCCCCCCCCCCCCCCTTCTCTTCGCCTAGACCAACAGAATGCTAGGAGACTCTTATTTTGAATCAGTTTGAATGGTAACAGGTTATCGATTACACTGCTGATTGATCGTGTATAACACGTAAATATTTTTCCCGCCTCGGTCGAGGTGCGAGCGTTACCTACGGGTGTCGCGGTACACGCGTGTATTACACTCGGCACTTTATCGGAGGATATCTGAACGGCGTATCTGTAATGAGATAACGTGCGAGTTCGTCGATTAAAAGTGCCGCGCCTCTAGCCTCAGGCTGGTCGAGCCTGGTTGGTTCCGTTAGCCCAGTTTAACAGCGAGACGACGGGAAAAACTTGGATTTAAGAGGAACTTGGTCGCACGCGAGACAACGAGTGATTATCGCTATTGTATCCATCATGTGATTGAGCGACCATTTTCATGGTTGCAACGGTTCGAATAGAAGCGTGTTCAAAGTGGTGTGTTTTATGCGTGGGAGTGAAATCAAGGTGTTCGGAACGAAACGAAAAAACGAACGAGAGATTGGTGAAACGAGGGAATAAAACATTTGGCCAGGTATTTTTATAGAAATCGACTAATGTTAAGTTAATGTGTGATAGTGCAGGGTATAGCGTCGTAGGAATTTGGAGAATACTGGAGACGTCATCAGGTGACTCATGATAACAATCGCTAGGCACGTGTAATGATTTCTATTTGTCTAGTCTACATCCTACGGAAGATGAGGATGTGAATTAGTGTTGCCTTTTTTGGAGAATTTGTTGTTGTGGTTTGAGCGATTTGAGTAGTTAAATAGTATTGAGTTAAAAATGGCAGCGTGAAAAGTGTTGGAAACGTTAATCTATTTAGGAACAATCTATTTCATGGAAGACGACAGGTGACTCATATTTTAAATCTTTTAATTATCACCTGTTATAGATACGTTTGAATCATATGAGTAGATACTACTCAGGGCGCTCAACAATAAAACACTTCCGGTTTACATTCAAGCAGCCGATTTTTCAGATTCTAATTCAATCTCGCACAATTAGGAATTATTAGAATTTAATAATTTTTTATATAATGTTCAAAACAATTCTAATTGTAAGTCAGAATTTCATAAAGACGCATCTCCCCCTACCCCCCAATGAAAATGACATAACTCAACAAATATTATGACTAGGATGGTTTTTATCAACGATTCGTGTGTTTTGAGCAATCTTCTGAGAAAAAGTAATTTCACAATCTATGAAACATAAAACTAACATTACATATATATATCTAATAGAAATAACGCGAGCAATAAGAATAATATTCGATTGCAATAAAATTAGAAAATACAGTTACACTTTAACTGGTTATAAGTATATCTTATTTTAGGATGCTCATTTTTATTAAATAGGATTTATCGTACCACGCGAGATTTGATGTTTTATGTAAAATGTTTTATAGTAGACAAAACTCATACAGCAGAGGGTCGAGACTGCTGTTGGAATTCAAGTATTGATTCCTATTCGCAGGAATGACCATACGTCTTCAAGAAGTGGTGAGATCGGAAGTGGAAGGTGGCCTGTCAGGGCCAGCCAATCCGATACCAAGCCAGTCGATAGACTGCGGTTGTGCACAGCTACCATGTCCAAAATTAGCGAAATTTGCAACTCGACGGCTATTCGTCGGCCTAATGACGTGGATCGGTTTGGTCCAGGCAGCTGGGTACGCGTACTTTTACGTAGCGGGGCCCACGATCGCCAGAAGATTTCAATTCGATCCTTACATAATGGGCAAGTATCTCAGTTATCAACAGTTACTTTCAATTATTTTCAATTAATTCAATTTTTGTTTAACGCTATTTTTGTATTAATTTTACAGAGTGGGTCCTTGTAATATCAGATTTGACACCCTTCTTTCTTGGCCTACTCGTTGCATATTGGGGCGATAGGTTCCATAGAGTTGCATGGATCGGTGGTGTAGTCCTTTTACAGAGTGTATCATATTTTATCATGATCATTCCTCATCTGACACATAAAATGAAATTCTTCGATAACGCAAACAATGTCACACATATGTCAAAATACGCAGGTGAGCAGGAATTCAATTTTATTATACTTTGAGTGACATTCATTATTTTTACTTTAACTTTTACTTAAAATTATTCGTTACTTCCAGATGACCACAAAGAATTGTGTTCAGCAGTTCCATTTAGAATCATCGCGAAGGATGACGAATTTTGTTATTTTACATTCGGTATGATCATTGGAGTACAAGTCGTATCCGGAGTGGCACAGATTGCATATTTCGCGTTGGGTATTTCTTATTTGGACGATAATACGAAAAAGAAACACGCTGCCGCCTTCATCGGTATCATCATCGCTGTGAAAATCGTTGGTGTCCTTTTGGGATACATCCTGGCCTGGGGTTGCCTTAGGTAACAATTGTTCGATCTAAATTACTAGTGTAATTTTGCTAACAAATATTTTTATACGAAGAAATTCGGTCTCACGAGAACGTAATTTAAATACTCGTCGACTAAGCTAATTTCTGAATTATTATACAAATATTCAATATCATCTAAAGATTCTAAATGGTGCAGGATAGACGCAGAAACTCTGACTACCATAGACTCCTACACGGACCAAATTGGTGCATGGTGGCTGGGATTTCCAATTCTCACAATATTACTCGTAGTTCCTAGTTTGCTACTCTCATGGTTCCCCAGAGTGCTGCCATCCGAGGTAGACATAAATATAAAAATAATTAAGATCAGCACATTGTGGATCGTGTAAATCGAATTTATAATGCGTACTAGCCACCACGACCGAATAATTATTTTATTTATAATTACACTAGGTCGTTGAACAAGCAGCAGCTTCGTTATTAATCAGTGCCAGCAGATATAACCTAGCACCCAAAAAAGCCATCAAAGTTGGCGGTGCAGGTTTCTGCGAAACGTTGAACAGGCTGTTCCTTAATAAAATTTTAGTGTGCCACGTTCTGGCGTTCACGCTCTCCATCATGGCCATTGTGAATTTCATGGGTTACGAGAATCTTATTATAGAGTCGAAATTTCACGTTCCCAAGCCAACTGGGATGTTGCTGGGCTTCAACGATCCGATGCCTTCGAGGCTGATATCAAGTAAGACGGACTATTACTCGTAATAATTTTGTGATACGATGGTATCGTGAATTTTCTTCTAGGGCGAAATTAAATTCAAATTCCGTTTATTTTCAGACTTTCTGAAGCCTATACTGATCGGTTTGATAGTGACAGTTACAGGCTTGGTAATATCTAAAGCAAAACCTAGTGCTCGAAGTGTTATCGGATATAGTGTCGTCGTTGTGACAATATCCGCTGCAATTATTTTTGGATTGACTGGTACAGTTTGCGAGAAGAATCCTATAGTTGGCACCGACGACAGAGGAAGGTTAGTACACTTGTAATTATTACAACAATATAAATAAATATTTAATATAGCCTTCTCACTCTCTGCACGTATAATATATCACTGGAGAGGAGATCAGCTATAACGAAATATGTATTTCGTGACGATTATTCACGATTATTTTTTATTCAGAATAGACCTAACGAAGTATTGCAACAAAGACTGCGGCTGTTCGGACGACGCCCAATTTCACCCCGTTTGCGACCCCAAAGGGCAGTACACCTTCTACAGCCCTTGCCACGCTGGATGCGCTTCCTCCGAATTCAAGAACGGTATAACGATGTACACTGGCTGTACATGCGTACAAGAAGTAACTGGTAAAGCGGATGGAGATGCACAAGATGGACCTTGCAATTCGAGCGTCTGCCAAATTGGTTGGTTGTTCTTCGAAGTAAGTGAATCAACATTCATTTCAGTATTCCAAGTTTCCAAAGTACTCCAAGTACTCCAAAATTATCCATTTATATCAACGTTATTCGTTTTAATTTCATTTCCACGTGCTTTCGTAACAACCGCGATGTTTCATATTCATGTCCTAATTAATTAACTTCATATTTTCCTTCTTAAGTTCGGCACTCTATTGGCGTACGCACTAGTCGCCTCGGCTTTCGTGGGCGACTGTCTAATAACTCTAAGATCGGTCTACGCCCAAGACAAAGCCTGCAGCATCGGCTTCTTGATGATGTGGTCCACCATTTTCACGTACGCTGCTGGAAAATTCGTTTACGACCTCGTAGCAAGCCTAACCTGCCAATATTGGGGAACTCAAAAGACGATCTGTCACCTACACGACAGCTTGAAGCTTGGCGATTATCTATGCTACTTGACGGGTTCTCTTCTGGCTTTGAGCGCCCTGCTGAAAATCCTTTCATGGATTTTCTGCGCGGATCTAGACCTCTACAATCAAGAGATGGAGGAACTTCCCGAAGGTGCAGAGCTGCAGGTCCTCGTGCCCAATCTTGCTCTAAGTTCCAGAAAAGCGGGAGAGTTATCCGACACTGGCAACAATGGTAAGTCGTTGCATTGTTTGCTGCATTCGAAGTAATAAGATGGTCCAACACAGTAATAGGTTTAGATGCGAATTAAGATCTCTTTAGTATGATAGCTCAAAGCTAGAAAACATGGTTCATTTGTTTTGGTAAAATCTCCCAAGGCTCTCAATGTTCTTGCACTTAATCAACCCAAATCCATGTCCCACCTACAGTTCACACTACCCTGAACGTCGCAAGATGTACGATCCAGCGTCCCTGAAGAGATTAACAGCTTTCTGCTCCGTTCACAGACAAATCAACGACTCGAGCGGAGATCGTCAACAAACCCGAAACGACAAAGACTAACGAAAATTCTGGAAAAAGCAAAGCTCAGCAACAAATAGACGACGCACCCTTGAAGTACGGGCCCCTAGGACCCGGCGATCGACGAACAGACTCGAAGTCGTCACTGAACAAGATATCAAAAGTACGAAATCTGGAAACCGAAGACGAGTTGAGTTCCAGCGACGAGGTCGCGATGAAGAACCTCAACTCCAAGGTGCCATACGTCCCTCTAGATCTCGACTCCGACGTGGAGAGCGACTTGAGTAATGCCGAGCCCAGATCACGAAAACGTATCCACAGCAAGGACTACGATCGCGTATACGATCTAGATCAAAGCTCCTCCGAGAAAAGTTCGTTTCCCAGGCAAAATCCCGGTCGAACGCAGTACAAGAATCAAAAGGGAACCGCGGACGGTTCGTACATAACAAGCAGCTTCGAGTATTCCTCTAAACAAAATGGCGCATCCAGGAGAGGTGATTTCAACGAAGTGGGTATACCTATCGTGTCCTATTCGCCTCAGTCGCAGTCCGACCCTAGATTCCTGAAGGATGTGAAATCGTTGATCAATCAGTATGAATTGAACGCCGACCATCAAGTTGCCGAAGACCAGCAAGTTGAAGCAGGGGTTGGAGGTCACCATACGGATTACAAACCCGTTGCTGGTATTCCGTTGGCAGCCATGGTGCAGTCGAGGCCTGAATCTAGGAATGGTCAATTTTCGTCAGGGTTCAGCAGTTTGGCCGGTGGTAGAGCTCCTCAGGATCGACCTGAATCCCGTGAAAGCTCCAGCCCGAGGACTTCCAGCAAGGGGAGCAGGGGGACCTTGCATACAGATTTCTAGCGTCTACGTGAGCTGATTCGAGGGCATTTTTCTTACATTTCTGCGCCGTACACTGCCTGTGTATTGATAGTTTTATATGATCGATTATAAATATATTTTATTTATATAAACGTTTCTGGTGGTATTCCTTTCCCGATGATCCGTCCCGTCGAGTCTGTAGAGTTTAGATTTGTGATACGACAGGTGGCGTCACCTGTAATGGTATCGCTCTATAATTTAAAGGACTGACTTGGTAATTTTAGTGTTAATTTCAGCTAAAATACGACGTGCAAATAAATGAAGCAAATTCGTCATCGAAATCTTTCCCTGATCAATTATGCTTTTACAGCGATATAAAATATACTCGATATTACTTCGTATCTCGAGAAGCGAGAAAGTTAATAAGAAATTACACGAATATTAAAACGTGGATAAATGATATATTTTCGCAGTCTCGACGATCCGCAAGAAACGAAGACGCGTCACACTGTATCGTTGAATGTAAAGTAAAAAAAAAAAAAAAAAAAAAAAAAAACAGAAACACTCCCTTTCACCAGTGGTTATAAGTTCTTTTTTCACATCATACTTTGTACAATAGAACAACGATTAATTCGGGCCGATTATCTCAGATTACTGTAGAACCGTCTTATAATTATTTTTACAAGGTTTCCCTATTCATTAAAAACGATCTCGGGCACGCCCCGATCGAACGACGAGAACGTCACCGTTGAGTGGCGATAAGACGAGGGATAGTAAAAAATTAAAATTCGTTTCCGTTTGTCGAATGTCGCACCTCGCGAACGAACTAGCCAACCGTAAGTTGGCTATCCGAGGTACTACAGCTTTTAAATATCTAAGGAGATGCTTAAGGTACTTGTAAAGTCTTTATTCGTCTGCTCCTCTATGTCTCTCTCTTTCCCCCTTTCGCTTTTTTCCACCGTTCTCGTCCTCCCCTTCTATTATTTTCCTTTTATTCCTATTCATCGACGATTTTGTTGTTCGAGCCTTTACTCCCGTCGTCTCTGGGACGAAACGATCTGATCGGATCGTTAATGAGTCACTTTCAAAGTGTCTCCCCTGGCTCCTCGGCTATGTCTTTCAGCTCGATCTCCTCGTCGAAGATCTTTACGTCTTTCACGAAATACCAGACACCCACATCAAACAACGTGCCGATCGTTACGAAGCCTGTGGAAAGAATATTGTAAAATTAATCGGACTATCGACGGGGGACAAATTATTGGGATTCGCGACAGCTCGAAATAATTAGGGGATCTTCCATTCGAGTGCTTTCATTGGTTAGATCTTCGCAGGTTTCCAAGCTGCAACGTTCCTTTTATTTAATTTGTCGACTCGATTGCGGGTGTAATTTTCAGTAGGAGCATCGCAAACATAAATTTCTTGTTAGAAATGTGCAACGATTATTCATCCGAATTATAGAAAAATCTCCTAATCGATTCGAGGCCTGTGGAAGGAAAATTGAACTAACTGGCTGCGGTAAAGTTCAGCAAGTATCGCAATGTCTCGCCGTTGTAGAGCCAACAGTTTCCTGTTCCTGAACATGTCTTTCCCCAAACGAGGCAGGTTTTATCTGAAAAGAAAAATGTATTTTGTTCATGTAAATGTATGGGTATATCTTAACAAATAAACAATCTTTAATTTCAAAACGTCTTACGAAACTTACCTAAAATAAATCCGAATAATATAGGGGAAGGTATGAATGCGAATAAGCTCATAATAGTTAATCCAAAGCCCATTGCCACCGTCTTGTCCTTCTCGTCGACGCATCTGACGGAGACCAGGAAGTTCGACGCTCTTCCAGTGGCGCCGCTGAACTTGAGGAGACAAACCACGGCCAGGAAGACGTAAAATTTGTGCATACAATCCACAGGACAGGCCCCTGGGACCGCGGTGCCTAAAGATGGCGGCCCATCGGGCTCGGTGGTCTCGGACGGAATTTCCGTTGTGTGCGCCGACGTGTTGTTCGAGTACAAGTGCGCCAATGAGCGTGCATACTTCGGCTTGACGCAGCTGCACTCTGTGTATATCTTGCTGCTATTACTGTGAACCTGCAAGTGAATTCGTCCGATAACAACGATGTGAGAAACTGTGTTCGTTATCAAATAGCTCGGTCATCTTTAATTGTGGCGCCACTAAGTCAGTCGTGACGGTTTCTGGTAAAACTCTGTATTAAATCTGAATAAAGTCACCTACGTCTGATCGCGATCGAAGGTATGACGATTAGAGGATAGAGCTAAAGCTAACGAACCGATGAAACAGTTTTGCACCTTTAAGTTTCGACATCCAGCGTGACAGGCTGAGATGAAGGTTTGACCATGTTCCGAGCAGACAGGGTTGTAAGTAACGTAGTCGCAGTGGCATTGCTCGTTGCACGGGAGGAGCGTTTTCAGTGCGCCGTCCGATTGAACGGCGATTTGATTATCGTTGGCGGAGCACCCGAGGAAAGCGTAAGAAATCATTCCCAGCACGGATATGGCCCCCACCATCACGTTCCAGGCGGCCAAGTATCTGGCTTTGGGTTTGTACTTGGAGATGACTAAACCGGAAAGGAGGATCCCAAAGGCGCTGAACACCAGGCCGACCGTTCCAGTGATCAACGAGGAGACAGAGGCTGACTGCTTGTACTGCGTCTCGATGTATTTAGGCATGAAGATCCAGTAGGGCATGTATCCCATGAAGTAGAAGACAGTCGCCAGGTTGTTGCACATCAGGGTAGTGTTCGTCAACAGGCGCTTGAACGTCCTCATCATGTCTAAGAAGGAGGCAGGCAACTCTGGTTCTTGGTCCGCTTTTAAGTTTGCCGCGGACTTGTTTCGCTCCGAGGCCAACACCTTGCGGGCTGCTGCCCTGGGTAGCGTCTTCGGGAACAGCGCGATTATGCTCGCGAAGACGAACAGAAGAATCGCCAGGATGATCCACCCCAGCCACCAGGCACCCAACCATCTGTTGACGTACCAGACAGGTTTAAAAGATTGCTTCGAGTGTTTTTACGTTGATCACTATACCTTGGATCCTGTGTCGTGATGGTGGGCGTCAGAGTTGGGCTGATGTAGAACTTAAGGGCGAACGAAGCCAGACCGTAACCAATGGCTGGCCCCAGCATTCTTAGGAAATACGAGAAGCTGATCAACGCCGGTGTCTTCGACTTCTGTATGTTATCGTCCATGTACGACACTCCCAGGGTATAATATAGCGATCCGCCAATACCTGACACTAGCTGCGCTATGAACAGCAACACCTGGGGCGCGAAGTTTCCGTCCGTCTCGTCGCACTCCTTTTCGCGGTTCTCCTGCCCTAAGCATAGGAACTTTCGCTGTTTGTCAGGGATCTGACTCGTGTTCAGGCTCCTTGGTTTCGCTCCGTATTCCTTCGTGAGCAGAAGAGCGTCCTCGCCAGGGCCGTACAAAAAATGCGGCAACATCGTCATGCAACAAAATAGGACAACCTGAGGAACAAAGTAATCGTGAGGAACGAAATAATCATTCTTGATAAATGTTTAACGCAACGTATTATGGAACGGCTGATAATTAATTAATATCGGTTGTAGCTAATCTACTACCGACTTTCGAAACGCTGGTTATATTTGGTATTCACTATTTATCGATTGATTGAAATTGTCTGTAAAAATGTTTTTGCTCCGGTCTTGTTTTCCTAAGGTTTACTACGATATAAAAAAATGAATGTTTAAAGAACCTTCGATATTACACACTTGCAGAATATATTTTTCCATATGTTTACATTAATCCTCGTGTCTTCTGATATTTAGATTGCGATCGTCAAATAAGATCAATCTTGGAAAATGCCATAGGATCTTTTCTTTTTTTTTTTAGGTCTTGTGTTCGAGATTGCAATGCTTGTTAAACACCGCTGTCTACATGACTTATTTACCGAGACGTTATCTGAACGATTGCTCTGATAATAATTCATCGAGCATCTAACTGTCTCACGCGAGGGAAATCGAGATTAATTAATTTGACGTCTTGGAAATGCTTCTGAAATCATGTTTCGACGATAATGGAAATGGAGCCGAATGTATCATAGACCGTTTAGTGATGCGTAGAGATTATTAAACGATAATTAGTTTGTCTGCAACGATTTTTATGATCATCGAGCAGAAAACTGACGGTTTTCAATTAACCAAATAAATTCATATTAAAATTTCCAATTCGAATAAAATTTGTTTTGCCTCCGTTTGCTGTTCATTAGTTACTCATAAGTAGAAAGTATGCAATTAAAAACGAAATCGGATAGAAGGTGAAACAGGTGGTGCCGCGTGAATCCGTAAGCAGACGCAAATTGTTTCGAACGTAATTACTGAAAATACGTGACAGCGAGTTGTTTCACGCACACCGACAGCGTCTTTTCACTGTTCAATGAATGAAGCGCTTAGCTAAGCACACGGTGGCGAGAGTACGATGGTAAGAGGCGTGAATGAGCGTAGAGCTACGATTTCAACGCTTCCTAATTTAATTAAGAACCGACCAACCGGTGGGTTATGACGTCTCCTAGTTCATTCTTCGGGGCGTGTGCCGACAGCTGATACTTTTCTCTGCATTCCTCAAGCTTCGAGGAAGACCGTGACGGGAGGAAAGAAAAGGGGGGTCAGAAAATTGCCATATTAATTATTCTTTAGCGAAAATTCGAGTCGGAGCATTCACGATATTAAATAGTAAAATAAGAAAATAGTCGTAGATTTTCAGACGCTTTTAGAAAAACAAATTATTTCTTAGGGGAAGTTTCAGGCTTCTAAATACGAAAAGACGTAAATGTAAATGATTTTGTCGAAACTTACAGTGTAGATGCCAAACGCGATCCATCGAGGCCTGTGACCCCTTCCTGCGTAATAAGACAGGACCACCGATACGAACAATTGCGAGATATCGTTGCCCACGGTGATAAGACCTAAACAAAAATTACGCGTCTAATATTAACGAACAATTAATCGGTCGAGTCTATTGATTCACGATATGAAATCAATATGCGTTGTTGCGCCGATTTTTCGTTTCTTTCTGCTAGAATCAGGTGCAACTATTAAAAGATCAAAGTGTATAACAACAACCAAAAGCGTGTTTTCTTTATCCTGTCTCGACCCAAAATTAACCAAGGACTCTCCAGGT